ACTGTGAGATCATGACCTGAGCCGAAATCAAGTCTGATACTCAACTGCCTGAGCCACCCAGGCGCCTCACTCCTCATCTATGTATACTTCTGGACAATCTTATTTACGCCCGTGACTTCATCTGTTACCTAGCTGCTAATGATTCCCAAATATATATTGCAAGCCCAGTAGTGTTCCCTGAGCTCCAGGTAAACGTGTTTTGGACGCTGCTATGTATGCCACCTTTCAGAATTGAGGCACTTGCTGCCTCAGCTATCCTACAGGCTCAAAACTGCATCCCTCTCTGGGAGTTGTCCTCAGTTGAAGGAGATGCCTCATCCAGGTGTATGCCCACCTTTCCCCCGACTCCCCTAGAGACAGACCATAGCCAGTAGGACAAAAGGGCTCGGCCCCCTTAACTCAATTTGGGACAACTCTAAATGACCATTTCATGGATTGGCTGAGACCTCTATTAACATCACATTTCAACTTTCCTCTCTGTCTAATCCTGCTTCCTTTTTATCCCTTATGTGCATGATTGCTGAGTGCACTGCTTGTTAAATCTCCATCTAAAATAATATCCAGGGGCGTCTGGCTGCCTGTTGGTGGAGCATGCGACACTTGATCTTGGGGTCATGAGTTTGAGCCCCATGCTGGGCACTGAGCTTACCTAAAAATAAATAATATCCAGCTGCCTACCACTACACAGATCATTCTTATTTCCATGCTTCAGCATATGTCTAGGACTAGTGAATGGTTGTGAAGAATATATGAGAATAAACCTACATGACCTACATAAAGTGTCTGGCATATAAGTGGAACACACAAAAATGTTGTTTCTCTCTCTTCTCCACTATGTAGACCTCCCCACCAGAAGAGCTTTTTTTTTTTAATAAAATTTTTAATGTTTTATTTTTGAGAGAGAGAAATAGAGACAGCATGAGCAGGGGAGGGTCAGAGAGAGGGAGTCACAGACTGAAACAGGCTCCAGGCTCTGAGCTAGCTGTCAGCACAGAGCCCGACGTGGGGCTCAAACCCACAAACTGCGAGATCATGACCTGAGCCGAAGTCAGACGCTTAACCGACTGAGCCACCCAGGCACCCCAAGGGCATCTTGAGGACAGTACATTTTGTATCTCCACTTATTAAGTATGTATCTGGCACAAGAGACAACAAAATCTATCGTAGATGAGTGATCACTTTTTGGCCTTTTGGCTAAGATCGAGTGTATTGCTGATAAATGAAACAACACACAACTAATTAGCCTATGAATTTCAAGCCAGTAGTGGTCTTAGATTATCTGCCTGGGTGGCTCAATTGAGCGTCTGTCTGATTCTTGGTATTGGCTCAGATCATGATCTCATTGTTCTTGGTCTGAGCCCTGCGTTGGGGTCCAGTGCAGATCCTACTTGGGTTTCTCTCTCTGCCCCTCCTCTACTCACTCTCTCTCAAAATAAGTAAACTAAACAAATCTACACTTAAAAAATAAAGTCAAAACACAAAAACAAAAAACATAACTGCAAATTCTGACACTCCTCCCAATTAGGAGTGAGAGAAGGGATATATCCCCTCCCCTTAAATCTGTTTGGGACTGTGACTGTTTAGATGGAGTATGGAAGTGACAAAGCCACATCACAAAGGTCATACAGCTTTCATGGGAGCTTCTTGGGATGCTTACTCTGAGGAAGCCAGTTGCCATGTAAGTCTGACTACCCTGAGGTGGTCATGCTGAAGCCATAAACAGGCACTCCAGGAAACAGCCCCAGCTAAGCTCTTGGCCAACCAGCTTCTACCAATCATGTAATTAATAAGCCATCTTAAATGTGAAGCTAAGTAAATTTTCAGAGGACTACTGCTCATCAACTGACTGTACTTTCAGGGGACCCCAAACAAAAATGGCCATGTCAAGCCCTTTTGAAATTCCAGACTCACAAAACTGGTAAAGTACCAAATTCCTTTGGGTAAATTTATTATACAGCCATTAGTGACCAGAACAATACTGGAGTTTAAGGATAGTTTGCTCTAATTTTTGCACATGCTTGGTGAGAAGGCTCAGCTTATCAACTTCAGGGTCATCTGGAAGGGCACCTGGGTGGCTGCTCACCAAGTGACTTCAGCTCAGGTCATGATCTCACGGGTGAAAAAGTTCTGGCCCCAAGTGGGGCTCTGTGCTGATAATCTGGAGCCTATTTGGGATTCTCTCTGCCCCTCTTGTGCTTCCTAACTTTTTCAGGTTAGAGCATGATCTCATGAATACATGAGTTGAGTCCCACCCATATCAGGCTCCCCGCTGACAGTACTACAGAGCCTGCTAGGGATTCTGTCTCTTGCTCTCTTTGCCCCTCTTCCGCTCACGCTTTCAAAATAAAGTTTAAAGGGGCGCCTGGGTGGCTTAGTCGGTTAAGCGTCCGACTTTCGCTTAGGTCATGATCTCGCGGTTCGTGGGTTCGAGCCCCGCGTCGGGCTCTGTGCTGACTGCCAGCTCAGAGCCTGGAGCCTGTTTCAATCTGTGACTCCCTCTCTCTCTGACCCTCCCCTGCTCACGCTGTCTCTCTCTCTCTCTCCTAGAAATAAATAAAAAAATTAAAAAAAAAAGTGTTTAAATGGAGAGAAAAGGCCATTAAGTAGATGTAATAAAGTATAAAATTAAAATTTAGAGGTGGAAGCAAACACATAGTAAAAGTAGTAGATTAATCACTTATGAAGTCAATATAAAGNCTCGCGGTTCGTGGGTTCGAGCCCCGCGTCGGGCTCTGTGCTGACTGCCAGCTCAGAGCCTGGAGCCTGTTTCAATCTGTGACTCCCTCTCTCTCTGACCCTCCCCTGCTCACGCTGTCTCTCTCTCTCTCCTAGAAATAAAAAAATTAAAAAAAAATTAAAAAAAATTAAAAAAAAATACTGCAGAATCTCCTTACGACATTTAAAAAAAATAAAGTTTAAAAACGAAGTCATCTGGGACCGCGTTGAATCTACAAAACCAGTTTGGGGAATATCGGCTTCCTCTGACCTCAGTACGTTTGAAACTCATTTTAGGCCAAGACACTATAAGCCCTTACATCATTTGCTAAAAAATCATGTGTGGACTTCATCTAATTTTGAGCTCTAAGCTTTATTAGGCTTATGTTCTCCCACCTTGTTTCCACACCTAACATCTAACATAGCGCCAAGTACTAAAAATACCAATTTACCCACATACAACTGATAACATTAAGAGTATCTATTTAATGAGGTTAAGTAACTTGCCAAAATTAAAAGACCTCCCAATCCTTTCAACCTAAAGGATATATTAATTTTCCCCTTTAGACTCTATGGTCTAAAAGCTTACCAAAATGAATACAACCTTTATTTTTTGCTATCAAATTTTAAGTTGCCTATCACACACCTAATTACATTATATAGAGGGAAAGAATCCTTAACTTGCTGCCCGTGTCCCCTGGTGACTAGTAAACAAATTTTAACATGTACTCCTGTTTTTTTAATAGCATTTTATTTTTTTTAACATTTATTTTTTTGAAAGATCTAAAGAGAGCAGGTGAGCAGGGGAGGGACAGAGAGAGGGAGTCACAGAATTCAAAGCAGGCTCCAGGCTCTGAGCTGTCAGCACAGAGCCTGATGTGGAGCTCGAACTCACAAATCTTGAGTTCACGACATAACTTAAGTCTGACGCTTAACCAACTAAGCCACCCAGGCACCCCAACATGTGCTCCTTTGGAGCCAGGGACTGTGCTAAACACAACATCCATCGATTTCTATCCCAATTGCTGAAAGAAACAGTATGTTAATTTTATTGATAAGCAAACTGCAACTTGGGTAACTTGGCAGATAATGGAGCTGGGGGCAAAGTGGCTCAATACTTCTAACTTCAATAGTTAAGACCTTCTTATGTCCAAAAACAGCATTGTACTAATAAGGATTTTTGCCTTGAGATCCATTAGGTTCCTAAGGCTGGAATCAGAAGAGAGTAACAAACTTGAACAACAACAAAAAAGGACAGAGAGGATTCTGGATTTGAGACGGCCGGCCTCTTACTTAAACATATGCCAACCACAGTGAAGCAGCAGGACAAGGAGTAGGAGAAAATCGAGGTCTTGCTCCCATCCCTGGTGCTGACCACACAGTTCTCAAAAGCAAAACCCACAGGAGCGGTGACTGCTGTGGTTTTCAACAATCTTCCTTTGTGGCTTTCTTTTTCAAGTAACACTGAAATTCCAAGTTTCTTCTCTTCAGCTTACCTACAGCAAGCTAATGAATTAGCACTTTCTCAAATTTTGCACTATTAGTAATGAGGCCCCCAAAGACATAGCAACAGCATTACCTTTTAAACATAGGCCTCATACCTCATCCTTAACAAATGTTTAGCTGGTGCCAAAAAGCCCTTTGACTAATATCTTGTCAGGTTTCAAGGGAGAAAAGTAGATTTTACTTCCAAAGTTCTTTATTAAGCAGATTTTACAATCAATTCCAGCAAGCTTTCTCCTATGCCTGTATTCAAAGACCCTATCCACATTCTACTGTATTATGAAATTCAACTTAGAGAAATTGCTACTAAAGGTACCCAAAACCTGGTCATTTAGCAAGATAGAATTCTGTGCTTCTTTGTGAAGTACAGGGAATACCCTATAATCACCATCATCTGAGGATTCTTTTGTGAAACACAAATGCTATTAATGCCTAAAACACAATCAAGGAGGGGTGTGTAGTTAATTGCTATATTCATCACATGCTAATTTTAGGAATAAAACTTAATAAAGAATGAAAGCAATTTTAAACTAATGATGGCTAAATCAGGTTAGTTAGGACAGCGAGGAAGGGCCATCAGGTTGATCAGTAATTAATGTTGGAAGTAGCTCTGCCAAAAAGGCACCCCCCCCAAAGAGTCTTTAATTATAACCCAGTTCTATGCTCATAACATGGAGCATCTTTTTCTATCACCGAGAAACATGGTGATGACATATAAGGAGAATTCAGGAAACACAATGTCCTACTTAAAAACAAAAACCAAAACACAAAAAAGCACAATCTGATTTTAAAATGTCTTTATTAACAACAATTAGGCTGTTCATTCCTCTTTGCCCTCTTCCTCACTGGTTTTCTGGACACAGTTCACCTGATCCTGCCAATTAAAAGAAACAATTACTCCAAAAGATGTTAAGAATCAGAGTTCTCAAACATTTACCATTTCTCACCAAGTAAACTTCCTAACACCAAAATGCTAATCAAGGAATGTGGCATTAACAATATTTAATGACCTAATTAAGGATTAAGATGCAGATTTTTTAGTACCAGACTCTGTACCAGCTAGTTGATTCAAGTTTACTTCCATTCACTAGAACTTAAGTAGCATTCACTCTTGAAAGAGAGATCTAAGATACTCCATTAATTGGCACCTTCCCTTGGTTTAAGATATAGTCAATTACTTACTATTGCTATTTCTACCTTATTCTCTTTTCAAACTATGACTATGACAGCCCTAAGTGATTAGTTACCTATATAAGCAATTTATATTAGATGAGAGACAGTAAACTACTGTCTACCTACTACTTTTTTTTAAAAATATTGGCACAGAGCAAGTTCAATTTATCTATTGTCTATGATGGCTTTCCCAGGTAGAACAGCAGAATTGAGTTGTCCTTTAAAAATGCCAACCCAAGGGAGCTTGGGTGGCTCAGCTGCTTAAGCATCTATCTGACTCTTGATTTTGGCTCAGGTCATGACCTCATGGTCATGAAATTGAGTCTTCACTAGGCATGGAAACTGCTTAAGATATTGTCTCTCTCTGCCCCTCCCCCGCTTACACTCTCTCAAAAAACAAAAAAACAAAAAAACCAAAAAAACCAAAAACAAACCTCATAAAACCAAAACAAACAAAAACCCCAAAACTGCCAACCCTTCTAGTACATCATCAACTATAGGTGATCCCATCATACAACTATGTGGTTAAAAAACCAGGAACTCTGAGGCAGCTGGGTAGCTCAGTTGGTGAAGCACCCATCTGTTGATACTAGCTCAGGTCATGATCTCATGGTTCATGAGATCAAGCCCTTGTTGGTATCTGTGCTGACAATTCAAAGCCTGCTTGGGATTCTCTCTCACCTTCTTCCCCTGCCCCTCCCCAGCTCACGTACACACCCTTTCAAAAAAAACAAACATTAAAAAAAAAAAAAAATCAAAATACAAAAACCACCAAAGAACTTTAAATTTTCCAAACTATCCTCTGCATAGTTCAAAGAACAAAGGTAGATATACATACATACTCTTAAAGAAAACTGAAGTCCCTGTTTTTCTGAGGCTTGAGCCAAACCAACAAACAAGGCCTACAACCTCAAGAAGGCTGTTAAAATGATTTTAAGAACTATAAAAATGTATTCCCTACAAATTTTAACACAGACTAAATTAAACGAAATATTCACATGTAAGCAGTCATGTTTGTAACACCCAAAAGTTGTCCCGAAGGCAATTTAGAGTAAGAATCATTCCACTTACCCAGACACTTCCTGAGTCTAACAAGCTGTGGCTCTCCTTCTTGGCTCATGTTGCAGGATATCGTCTTGAGACTAATAGCTTATCCACCTATATCATTAAAAATAGAATTTGTACAGCATATTACATTTTTATTAATTGTTAGTGTGTACAATGTATTCTTACATCAACAAAAGGCACATTCTGGGGCACAGGTATGGGTTCCAATCAGTGGTTCATTTTATTTTGCTCTGTTTTTGTTTAGGAAGGACCTGACTCACACCAAGATTACATCTAAATTTTCTTCACATTCATTTCAGAATTTTTCCTCTTCTAACAATGACTAGCCTATTTTCAACTATTTCCTGGATAAGTAAAAGAAAAACTTGAGGGGATTCTGAATGAGACAAAAGTAGAATTTTTTTTCATTAAAAAAAAATTTAATGTTTATTTCTTTTTTTAATTTTTATTTTTATTTTATTTCTAGGAGAGAGACAGACAGAGTGAACAGGGGAGGGTCAGAGAGAGAGGGAGACAGACTCTGAAACAGGCTCCAGGTTCTGAGCTGGCAGTCAGCACAGAGCCCGACGCGGGGCTCGAACCCACGAACCGCAAGATCATGACCTAAGCGAAAGTCGGACGCTTAACCGACTAAGCCACCCAGGCGCCCCATATTTAATGTTTATTTCTGAGAAAGTGACAGCATGGGCAGGGGAGGGTCAGAGAGAGAGGGAGACACAGAATCTGAAGCAGGCTCCAGGCTCTGAGTTGGCTGTCAGCACAGAGCCCGACATGGGGCTCGAACACACGAACTGTAAGATCATGACCTGAGCTGAAGTTGAACGCTTAGCCAACTGAGCCACCCAGGCACCATTGGAATGTAAAGTACTAAAAAGATGGGATTTCTCCAATAATTCAAGCCTTCTTTGTCAATTTTCTCTACATAACCATGTATCTTTTTTGTAGTTATAAAAGTAACAATGTTAATATACAAAGTTAATGTTAACATACAAAAAGTATAATTAACATACAAAATTCTATTAGTTTCAGATGTACAAGATTCGACCATGTATTTTTTTAATTCTTCTATTGTCTGACACTTTCATAATACAATATTCCCCACTTTCTCTTTCCCACTCACACACATTCACGTGCACACAACTATTTCCAGAAACAAAAACACGGACATTATCTTAGGAGAGGTAAACATTAAAAAAAAAACATGTTTCACCCCACATAGCTAAATCAAATTATTTAACCTTCATGCAAATCAAACTCAAACTCTTCTACAGGTTAGGATTTTAAAGCAACTTACTTGAAGTGAATGAGTACTCCAATATCAGCCAACATCAATCATTCTTACCTAAAGAATAATAAGAGAAAGTTAATATAAAAGACAAGGGTATAAAAGGTTTTGAAAATGCTAGTTAACTTCAAAATTTAAAGAGTAAATTCCAGAGACAAAGATTGGGGGCAAGTTACGGAATAAAAAAACAACAGGAAGAAACTTGATGGGGGGAAAAAAATCTAAAATTATTCTTATGTAAAGTAATAAAGTAGACAGCTGAATTCAAATAAAAATTGTGTCTTAATTAAAATACAAAAGCCTAACTGCTATTTTCACCAGTCTGAGCACAATCCAGTTTGACTGCAACCCAAAATATACTATCCCTTATGTGAAGGTATGTGACAACGTTTACCTTACCAAATGAGTTCTAACATCAGCTCTTTTTTTCATGTAAAAGCACATACCCTGCTGCTCCCCATTCAAGTAAGTCTTCCATTCTCAGGTGGACTGACCACCTTCAGCAGGAGTCCTCCAAGAGTGCCCTCCCCACTCCACAGTACACAACAGTGCAGTTGTTTATCCTGCAATCCTATGTATTTGCCTCGTTCTTTCCCTCCAAGTCCTCACTGAGTCTTAAGTTGGGGCAGGGAAGCTATGCCTTATTCTGGACAGCAAGGAACCTGCGTTTTTCTGAGGGAGAAGACATTCACCTTCACTATGTATGCCTGGTAGGGCCGCAGTGCACAAAAACCAGAAAGATCAGCCTTAATTCAAGTTCCAGGTTTTTCTTCCTCCTTGATTATCAGTTACTGCCAAGGGTATAAAAAATAGAGTTCCCTGTTGCACATGTACCATCCATAAGGGATACTATATCGTTTTGCATTCTCCCCCATTCTCGATTATCCTAGATTATTCTGCATCCAGCCCCCTTCTCACCCTCCAAATAAAATCTTTTCAGCACTGGTGTTCAAAAGCAACATTTTTATGGTTGATGGTTTACAACTGTGAGAGTTCCACAGTTGAGTCTTAAAAATTGCCAATCATTATCTAGCAGCAATGACAGATGATTAGGAGCAGTCAAATCCTCGGAATTCTTTCCCTAATAGGCAGCCATTTGAGAACTGCACTAGCTGACAGACACTGAAACATTATCAGCTAAAGCCAAAACCAAATAAAGGCCCAGAACAAACATCCTGGCTCTCTCAAACCTGTCCAAAATCATTAAGGGAAAGGCAGTAAAAATGCAGGACTGTGGATCGTGTCACTGCAGCTGACAATGATTAACAATAGGAGACATGCAACCCCCATTAAGGTTAAAAGTCCAAAACTAGTCACACGCATCTCTTTTCTTGGGGAAATAGGAGACTGTTATGCATTCTTGGTAGGTTTTGCAACCTTGTGTGAAGAGCACCCATTCCATTTCTTTCATCTTTCAGAAAGCACCGGTATCTGTTCCAAGGGCCTAACAGTACGAAAATGCATTCTGGCATCACACCTCTGAACTTCAGACCATTCTCATTAAAAACAATAATTCTGGTTTGCAACAAGGAAAGACTATGAAATACAATGCAAGCACCTCGGTATAGTGGTGTTACTGAAACCCATTTATTCCCGCTTTTTGAGTGAGTGATTTTGATTTAAGATCCTCTACACTAAGATTCACAAATTATAGCTACATACGAATCGAAACTAGGTAAGAATTGACTTAAGTCACAGGTTTCTCATTTCAAAGTGCAAAGCCTACTCATCTTGAAATAAGCAGAAATGAAGCAAAATTAACCCCCACCCCAACGATGATTCTCAAGTCCATATATTGTAACAAGTACATTCTCTCAAAATTGTTATTGACTGTTAAGAAATAAACCTGAGCTTTTATTTCTAAACACTTGAATCACTAAATCACGGTAGCAATTGTTGGCCACCGATTTAATGGATTATGCCACAGGAAAATTCCATCAAGGTTGTATGTCAATTTAGTGACACTCTTGTCACTAATACTGACCATTATGTTTGGAGTGCATTGTATTATTAACAGAAAGCTAAACTAGTCACCATTTGCTTTTTCACCTAACAGGGGAGTCAAGATATTTGCTTGAATAGACTACATGTTAAAGTACAAATTTGTTACCACCTTGTGAATTGCTTGCCAAACAGCAAGCCATTTTTCTTGATACAATGGAAGAAAATTCTCATAGTCATGAAGAGTTTTTCACCGGCATTTATGCAAAGTAAACCGAACTTCCAGTTACAGAGCAGAAAGCATTATACGTGAAAGCTGTTTCTTTCTCATGCATGCTAGCTAAAAACCAGCTCGGAGACCAAAGTTAAGTTGAATCGAGTTCTGGAACAATAGTGGATGCAAAGCTTACAAAGCTGAAGTCCTAAGCAACAAAAGCTGCATTTGAAGATTTTTTTTTTTTTTTTTGGGTAAGCATTTTGAATTATAACATCACGTCCCTAAAGCTAAGGGAACCAAATTCAAAAAGCTACTCTGAACATTTGCAGTCACCCTACAGAATACGACGAAGAAGTCTTAGGATTGGGAAATGATTCCCAACATGTATTCAACTGCAGGCAAGTCTACATGCCACACCACTTTCCCCCAGGTTTAGAGCATAGACATATTTAGACAAGTCACATAACTTGAACTATTCACATTAGATTCCCACTAAGCCCACGTTAGTAACAAAGGTATTCCCATGAAGCCCATTAAAAAAATGTTTTAAGTCACATTACAAAAAAAAAAAAAAACAAAAAACTGTACTTTTTAGTCTTAATTCACTCCAACCTACAGAATGATTACCAAGATTGCATTCTGGAATGGATATTGCTGACCTATGGGCAGGTCAGTTTGCTACAACAGAGACTCAGTATCACATGCTATACAGTCCGTGTCAAGATGCTAAAAGCACTCTACTTTCCAAGTATGGTTTGATTCCCTCTTCCCCACACCACTGACGTTTTCCACGTTCTCTTCAGTTACAATGCAACTAAAGGAAACCACACAACTGCATCAGATGTACCAAAGAATCAAGTTTGCACTTTTTATCTGAGAACTGCAACAGCACTGAATTCTGCCTGACAAATTACAGCTCGAAACCCAAGCCCACGCAGTTTTGATAGCAGCTAGCTTTACATCCAAGTGTTAGGTGCTGCACTGTAATTTCATGGTCAGAAGTGTGATGTCAGAATGCCCACGGAATAAAAGTACATAGCAAGTCACCAAGTTAGATTATATTGCTTGTTACCTACCTGTATGCAGTCGGCAATGAGAATCTTGGAGCAAGCAGGAATACTACATCCGGGTCCTAATGTCCATTGCCATTTGCGGTACTACGTTCCTCACAGTTACGCACTGCAGAAATGCTGGCTAAATGCAGTTATGTAGCAGGCCACTACTTTAATAGTGCACAATTCCAGTCCAAGAACACCAGAAAACATCCCGCCACAACATGGTGGCTTGCCCAAGAAAAGCCAAGTATCTAAATTTTTGTCTGCCGTAATATGCCACTTATAAAAATTGCACAGGCGTAACTTACAATTTCCCAAATTATTATTTGTTTATATTAGTTGTACTTACATCTATATAAAGAGTGGTGGGGTTTATAGTATTTCTTAGGAGTTTTAATTAGTGTTCTAAGCGGAGGATTATGGTTTCACTAAATAATGTGAGCCATTCGGTTAATCTTATAAGGTACCTATTAATTACACTGGTGTCTCTTAAGAGAATGCAGTTTAAAGATTAGGAGTAATAAGCTTACAACGATCAGTGTTCCTCTTAAAACAAAATTATGAGAGAAAGTGGAGAAGAGGAAATGGGGGGGCAGGTGGTTTCTTTAAATGAGAAAAATGGCTGAAATACTTCTAAAGTACTACATTCCCTTTCCCACCCGTTTCATATCAGCTTTTAGGAGGATTTAAATTCACATTAGGCTAAAAACTACCATATGCGTTGCAAGACTTATTGAAAGTCTCTTTGAGTAGCTTACAACCCTTGGTACACTGCTATTTCAGTGAGGAAAAGGCAAAACTTAGTGGAAACTAAGCAACATTATTTGCTAAACAATGTTTAGCAATTCTACAGCCCACAGTAAGGCTAGCAAAACCACAACTTTCAGGAGATTATCCATTAGCATCCTTCACCACTCTTCAAAGGTACAGTACTAACAAAAGCTTATTTTAGGGGTCTGTGCCAGCATCCCTTATAAAGAAAGGCATGTAATCTGAAAAATAAACTGAAACATTAATTTTATAGGCAGATTTTTCCCACTTCCCCACCAGCCCCCGCCCACACACATTCAAGTTCACCCTCTGTGGGTGTCCCATGAACACCCCTTAATTTATCATTAGTGGAGTCCCTACCATACAATTCAAATTATAATGGATTCCTTTCAAATCCAGACCCTTGTTTCCATACAGAAAACCTCATACATAGCACCAATTAGTGACTCGGGACAAAGCTTCCTCATGGATAGAATTATGGTAGAACTACTACCCATTTCCAAGTGTCTTGTGGAATAATAAACATGTTCTAAGGAGATTCTCTTCCTTAATTAGCACACCATGTACCTGTCAGTCACACAACTAGAATTGAGTGACATGCCTTTACCCTCCACTAGTGTTTAACTTTTAGTATTATCCAGTTTCCTATGCAGAAAGTGCTCAGAGTTTCAACAATAGGTTTCCCTTTGTACTCAGGCACAATACTAAACGAAGATTTGATTTAGAATTTTACTTTTGCCAATTAGCACCAAGAACAGAGGTGAAAAGGAGGAAGACACATTCCATAGTAAGAGTTCTATAATGTACAAATTTGAATGGAAACATAACTAAGAACAAAGCCGAACCATTCAATTACTTTACCTACTTTTAGAAAGTTGTTCCTCTGCTAACATATACGCTGGGAAAACAGATTCCCATCGTACTATCAGACAACAGTAATCTACTTTAATATTAAAAGTCAGAATGTCTTATCCTATTAGAAGGAGATTCAATGAAGTTGACAATCAGCTGACAACACCATCGAAACACTCCAAAACTTTATGGTGGGAGAAAGGGGTATTTGTACTGTGTAGCATGAGCAACTCTCTCCAGATTTAGTGCTACATCAAAAGTAAACTATAGAAAAACAGGTTAAATAGTTTACAGTAAGAATCATTATCTACAACCCTATTGGTCATTAACAGTCACCACTAGGTCTTAGAAAAGAGAACAAGTTTTCATAGTCCTACAGATTTTGCCCACCAGAAGTAGCACAAGGAGATATAAAAGTTACAGAGTACAAATGTATAGGCAGCTAAACCTACTTTATGGTTACTATGCTTCTTACTTGCAAGTTGAGTTTTTCAGACTAAACCCCATCTTCATATATCGCTTGAAGTAATACATGAAAAGGCTTCATGTTTAACAATCTTTAATTCAAATATGAAAGTTCAATACAAGCCATTTGTAGGGCTTGGGACTTGTTCTTTTAAAAACAAGAATGGAGGAATGCAACAAAATGATCTTTCCACTTTTTTCTTCAGAAACTTTCAAGGAAAGGATAGATCATAGGGCCATAAAGATCCATTTAGTCATATCCACTTTCTCCCCCTACCAAGTCTTTCACCCATTCCATAATCTTAATACACATTCCTGAAGGAAGATTTACAGTTCAGCTTGCTTACATAACCATTTAAAAATACTTAGCACCAGCTTGCTTCCTATAATGCCAAACAAATCATGAAACTACTTCAATATGCATTTCTTCTTTTAAAACAAGGGGGTACTTATTTGTAGAAAGCAATGCTTAGCCTACAGATACATTTCCCAGAAATGGCATATGCCATTCAAAGGCCTAGACACGCTCATGCTTTCGAAGTGGAATACCTAGCCTAATGTGCATAGAAGCATGAATGGCAAAGTTGAAGATCAATATTATAACTGTTTTTCTATTTATTTGAAGCACGTAAAAAAAAAAATTGGTACACTTTGGAAATTCAGTGGCACAAGGTACACTGCCATAACTTGGGGGACATTATACAGTTAAAAAAAAAAGGAAATAAAAAGGAAAAAAAATTCCCCTGTTTGAAACACTGCATTACATAATTTTACCTGCCCAAACAGACCATTTACAAATATTAGGTCAATAAACTGCTAACATCCATAAAAAGATAGCTTTCTTACTAAAATGCAAGAATTTAAAAGATTGGTATCTAAACAAGAAAAGACAAAAACAAACTGGAATGAAAACCTAGATATCACATCTAAAATCGGGGCTTTTTGTTTGGGCCTTCATACTCTTCTCTCCCTCTACCATATCCTGCTGGAGTTCCAGGCCCCATTCCTCTAGGACCCTGTCCACCCACAGGTCCCGCACCTCCCTGCCCAAAGCGCTCAGTACGCTATTGGAACAGTAATTAACAGTTCATTATATGTAGTTGATGTCCATGTGTGTTAAGTAAATATTTTAGAAGGTTCCGTAGTCAACGTTCGTCGATACAATCACCAATGAGTCGATCCACAGGTACCGGGAACATAGAAAGGAAAAAAGGGTAATTTGAAAATTAGTTTACGATAATACATGCCTTGTGGTATGTTCCCACTTGAGCCATTCTCATACACCTGTTTCAAAGAATAGGTCTTCCCTGTAGTGCTAAAAAATTTAAGAATTAGTGCAGATGTGAAAACCCATTCCAAAATGAGTTTTAAGAAATTTCACATCAGATTTACCCACTGCAAAAGCTTGCAAACTTCTCACTTTCAAGGTCTGAACAGGAAATTTAATTTCCAAGTAAGCCTAACAAGCCCAACCAGACAGATTCAATTCACTCAATGAAGTGACAAAGACCTACTCACCAGTTAGTGGCATGAGCTGCATAAGAAACCTTGTGCTTTTCAAGATCTTAAGACACATCTGCTAAGTTGCAGAAATCTTAAAACGTTCAAAGTTTTAATAAAATGCTACCAGACTACAAAAAGAAAAGCATAAAAAGACTAATAGATTTAGTCACTTAACCAGCACAGTAACTTCATTAAGTGTTGCCATATTCTCACAGGTATACCACCTTCAGAACCATCACTAAATAACCAGAGACAATTATGTTCACAGTAGTATTCTGTATAGTTGCAAATGAACTAAATATACAGCCCACCCCCACACCAGCCCCAGCTTTTCCTTCGGGTCTTTGAAAGTCCACTGACACTTAGCTATGATTCCACATTTTGAGTATCTCCCAAACTTAACACCAAGCTTTAGTGACTGCAATGAAGCAGGACTTCATTATTCCATCTAGTTTTAAGCACTTCAATCTTAGAAACCTATGTTCCCAAACAGAAAAAAACCCTATAGATATGCAAAGCACAGAAGCCTTACGAACTCTATTCAAAATAAATCAGTTACTGAACTCTATTCAAAATAAATCAGTTACTGAGAGCATCACTCCGAAAAGGGAGGGAAAAAGGCAGGGTTTAACTTCCTATACAGTTATGTTTTTCCTACTACATACTATAGGGCTACTTTAAAAACTAAATCTCAATTCTTTATTTCTCAAAAACCTAAAAATAGGTTTTAACGCATTGTACTGTGTATCTCAAAAGCTAGGAGAAAATTTGGGGGTTTCACAATTATGTTATTACATCTTAGAACCCTACCTATTATATGAGACATAGAAAAAAATCTTAATTGTGGGAACATCATGTCAAATTACATTTTAAAAATCTGATACAGACCTACAATCTGTCTTTTAGGAAGCATATAAACCAAAATGTTACCCACATTCTTTTTAAAGTTCATTTTGAAGAAAACTAACAAAACTACATTTAACCCAACCAGCTCTGATTCTAATTCTCAAAAAAACTTAAATTCCAAGTAGGTTTCAAATAGGTTAGACCCCATACTAAACCCTTCTATTTCTATTCGTAAAATGAACCTAACAAGCTATGTGTTGCAGTTTCCCTTTCCTTTGCCAAAAGCCTGCAGGTGAACCAATCAGATTCAATTCAGTTGTGAAAATGCACACTTCTCTAAACCCACCTCTAAATCCAATATTCAAATTTCCTATGGATTTGTATAGCCCTAACACAGCCGCTCAGACCAAGTCACTTGGTTGTTCTAAAGCATCCTGACAGGCTATCTGTACAGTTAAAATATGAAAGCATCAAGAAGGTTCAGATCAAATGCACACAACTAGTATGCTTAAAATGGTCATGGATTGTTGCTATCCTGTAGCAAAATAGAGATGTCAGTTTATTTTAGAAGGTGCACCCATTGACAGGCCCAACAAGTGGGAAACGACGAGTCAAAACAGTAAACAACTCCCTTCTCATGGGTAGAAACCACACCAAATATAGGTCAAAGTCCTACACATCACTAAAACATGCCTAAAACTATAAACTGCAAGTCTGATTCATACTTATGGCAAATATCAGCTTAATGAATGACAGTTTGCCATTTGATTACTCTCACTTGGATGTAGAATACATTTAGAATTTGGATTTGCCATGTGCTAGAGTGCAAAAGTACACAAGCAATATAATGGAAAGCACCTATGTCTACTTATTGCCGAAGAGAACTCCAACATACTACTGACAGCATTGACTTCTTGCTGGCAACCATTTGTTTAGGTTACCACAGTTCTTCTATGTTGCCAAAGTTTTCCTCAATATTATGATTTACATGATAAGGGAACTAAAAAGAGGTCCAGTTACCTACTTAAAAAAAAAAAACAAAACAAAGCAAAAAAGAAAAAAACAGAAAACAAAACACACACACGTAAGTTGTGAAAAATGAGAATTTCCTTTGTACTACGTCACACAGGATACATTACCATGTCGCTTCCCATCATGGAACCACTCATGGTTGCTGGTGGAACTCCAGGATTAGCTTCATAACCTATGCCACCACCACCACCTAGAGGTGGAAATTTCTGGCCTCCTGAACCATAGGGATCTAGGAAACAAAAATGCTGGTTAGAACTCAACCAGAATACAGCTCTCTAATGGTACTGCTAATTTTATTTTCATACTTACCTCCCATGTTCATTGCTCCTCCTCCACCCATTCTCATGTCTCTTTCTCTCTGAAAGAAAAAAAATCCCTTTCATATGCGCATACCAAGAATTAAGGAAAAAAAAAAAATCTCCAAAATTAAAAAAAAAAAAAAAGATTTTAAAAATAGTCAGTTGTTGAGACTCAATTATCCAAAAACCAATAAAGCTTCTTCTTAACCAATGATATCTTTAGGCCCAACAAGGTAAACTCAAAGCGTATTAATCATAATACACTTGTAAAAAGAAAAAATTTGACTAGAAAGTGAAATGTTACTATATATTTAACTGAGTTAAGACTTCATTTTTGGTACCTACAAGTTTTGTAGACAACTCCAACTAGATGGCAATAGAATTTTACTTACTGGATCCATGTAGCCCATCCGGCTATAACTTTCCTCTCTTTGGCGTCTCATTTGTTCTTCCATTTCACGTTGACGAATCATCATCTCTTCTTCCCTTCTACGTCGTTCTTCTTCTTGCCTGGAAATATTCATCAAGCACATGAAGTGTCATCCACACCTTTTAATAAAAGTCCATTTGAAGGGGCGCCTGGGTGGCTCAGTCAGTTGGACATCTGACTTCAGCTCATGTCATGATCTGTTTGTGAGCTTGAGCCACACACTGAGTTCTGCGTTGACAGCGCAAAGCCCGCTTAGGATTCTCCGCCCCTTCCTACCTGCACGCTCCCACGCATGTGCTGTCTCAAAATTAATAGACTTTAAAATAACATGTCAACTTGAAAAAAGCTAGTGGTTTGCCTTTGAGCTTTACAAAGTCTAGGTTAGAACAAACACCCATGAAGTCCTGAAGACAGTCTAGAACAGACCTAGAAGCATACTGGCAAAGAAAATAGGGCCATTAGGGGTGCCTGGGTGGCTCAGTCGGTTGGGTGTCTGACTTTGGCTCAGGTCATGATCTCGCAGTTCGTGGGTTCCAGCCCCGCACTGGGCTCCTTTGCTGACAGCTAGCTCAGAACCTGGAGCCTGTTTCAGATTCTGTGTCTCCTTCTTTCTCTGAGCCTCCCCTGTGCACGCTGTCTCTCTCTCTCTCAAATAACTAAAACATTAAAAAAAATTTTTAAAAAGAAAAAAAGAAAATAGGGCCATTAATGAAAACTTTACGCTCTATTCCAACCTAGTGTCAAACCAACACTGACATATTTAACCTCTCTGTATGCCAACAGACTCACCTGTAACTTAGGTGTATCTTTTTCTCTAAATATTTACGCACATGGAAAGACTTATTAGTTTAACAGAATCTTACCTTAGCTGCATTTCTTTACGTTTCTGCATTTCTTGATTGTGAAGTTCTTCCATGCGTCTTAATTCTTCCTGGCGTCTCATCAGATCTAAACATTAGAAAATTTTGTCTTGAATTCATTAATGGGGCTCCAAAAAGTTCAAAGCAATTCATCCTATCAGTGAAATTTACACAAGTTTTTTTTTTTTTTTTTTACCTTGACGCAAAAGATTTGCCTGATGTTCATGATAGGCATCTTCCATTTCACTTTCCAATTTGTCCTTTGCATCTTTCATGTTTTTTTCAACTTGCTCCCTTTGCTGTTTCTCCATTTCATCCAGGGACTTCCATCGCTGAGAATATTCATACTCAAATGTGCCATGCTGGGCAAAACGAGGAGGGGTTTCTCTCTCCCTGACAACATTTAAACATAAACCAATTGGTGGATGCACACAAGAAATACTACCCAATTGCCCTAAAATCCCTGATTTTGCCCCCTGCCTATCACCTCTAAGAAATAACCAAAGGGTTAGCAGGGGTGCCAGAGTGGTTTTGGCTCAGGTCATCTCAGTGTCATGAGATCAAGCCCTGAGTCAGGCTCTACATGTCATGACAGCATGGAGTCTGCTTGAATTCTCTCTCTCTCTGCTCCTCCCTACTCACAATCTTTCTTAAAATAAATGAATTTTTAAAAGCAGCTTTACATCAAAGGTAATACATGTCTCGGGGTGCCTGGGTTAGTCAGAAGAGGATGCGACTCTTGAACTTGGGGTTGTGAATTTGATCCCCATATTGGGTGTAGAGATTACTTAAAATCTTTGGGTCGCCTGGGCAGTTCAGTCAGTTAAGCACTCAACTTTGGCCAAGATGGTGATCTCACTGTGGGTTTGAGCCCCGCGTCTGGCTGTGTTGACAGCTCAGGGCTTGGAGCCTGCTTCAGATCCTGTGCCTCCCTCTCTTGCCCTTCCCCCTCTCTCTCAAAAATGAATAAACATTAAAAAATTACAATATTTATGTAAAAAATACATGTCCCAGAATCATGCAGTAACATAAAATATTGGGCACTCAAAATAAATCCTACCTTCCCCATTTCCTAATTCTGTTTCCTCTAACCAAATGCGTAATTAAACATCTTTTTCCGTTCTTAAAAAGGAAGATACCTATCACACGATAGTTTTAAAAGCAAAACAAGGGGTGCCTGGGTGGCTCAGTCAGTTGAGCATCCAACTTCGGCTCAGGTCATGATCTCGTGGATTGTGGGTTCAAGCTCTGTGTCAGGCTCTGTGCTAACAGCTAGCTCAGTGCCTGGAGCCTGTTTCAGATTCTGTGTCTCCCTCTCTCTCTGACCCTCCCCTGGGTATGGTGTCGCTGTCTCTCTCTCAGAAATATAACATTTAAAAAAATTTTTTAAAGATAATAAAGGCAAAACAAAATTGCATGTAAAACATACCTATCTCAACAATGAACACTAAACACTTGAAGATTTCTGCTTCAAAACCTCTAAACTTCCTGAACCTTAGATTTCTATCAAGCATACATGCATTTCAAGAATTTTGCGTTTTCTAGGCAAAACTGAAAAATTACAAGTTCTCATTTGCCCTTATATTAGAAAAATGCTTAAGTTAAATCAATCTTACTTTTGATACATTGGATTCTTCTGTGCAAGTTTTTCAGGAAGGCCATCTTCATCATCTAATTGTTCAAGTGGCTCCACAATGACTGGACGAGGAGTTCTAATAACAAAAATGGTTCCATCTTAACTTTGTTTCAGAGTTTTACTGCCAACTTTCCCATCCAAGTTAATAAATTAAAATTAGGATAAGCACAAAAACTTACGTCGTCAGTAAGAAAACACCTTCACTGCATCTTTCAAATGCTTTTCTTGCTGCTGGCTTAGAAGCAAACTCAACAATGCCTTTCCCTGTAGATCTCCCACGGTCATCCACAATTACAACAGCCCTTTCAATAGGACCAAACTGGCTAAAAGCTTCTTCCAACAGTTCATTGGAAACGTAAGGTGAAAGGTTTCGAACAGAAAGGGCGGCAGCATGTGTAGCAAAGCGAACCCGAAGCTGTCTACCTCTCATCGGTGTATCATCAAGTTCGGCTTTGGCAATTTCAGCCAATGCTCTAGATTCCTGAAAGTATCAGACATATTCATGTTAAGGACCTCATACTGGCTAATGCCCACACTGAAACTGTCAAAAGCTTAACTCCCACTCTAGTCTTCCTCAGGCTGAGTTCAAGTTATCTTCAAGCAGCCCTCCCTGACACCACTCAGAGTAGGTAAATGTCTTACCCACCCACTCTCCTCTTTTCTTAGATACCAACAATTATTCTATAGAAGAGGCATCTTGGGGGGGAAGGGGGATGAGCACTGGGTGTTATATGGAAACCAACTTGACAATAAACTATTTGTTAAAAAAAAAAAAAGAGGCATCTTTTATGAAAAAAAATGAAAATTTTAAACACCAACTTATTGCTATTGGCTTGAATACTAGCGTCTGCAGTAGCAAAAAACGAAAACAATCTTTTTTTTTTAAATTTTTTTTTAATGTTTTATTTATTTCTAGGAGAGAGAGACAGAGAGAGACAGCGTGAGCAGGGAAGGGTCTGAGAGAGAGGGAGTCACAGACTGAAGCAGGCTCCAGGCTCTGAGCTGGCAGTCAGCACAGAGCCCGACGCGGGGCTCGAACCCACGAACTGCGAGATCATGACCTAAGCGAAAGTCGGACGCTTAACCGACTAAGCCACCCAGGCGCCCCGAAAACAATCTTTTAAAGCCACGTTAAATAGGGCACCTAGGGGGCTCAGTCAGTTAAGCTTCCGACTTTGGCTCAGGTCGTGATCTTGTGGTTTGCGGGTTCCAGCTCTGTATCGGGCTCTGTGCTGATGCCTCAGAGCCTGGAGCCTCTTTCAGATTCTGTGTCTCCCTCTCTCTCTGACCCTCCCTTGCTCCCACTCTGTCTCTCCCTGTCTCAAAAATAAACATTAAAAATTTTTTTTAAATAAACCCACATTAAATCAAAAACTCACAAGTTTAATAAATCCAAATCCTTTGCCTTTGTTGATAAAAACTTCTCCTGGTTCTCCATATTTAGCAAATAATCTTTTGAATTCATCCTCTGTGATATCAGCAGGTAGATTCCCAACAAATAACCGACAACGCTGTGTGTAAGTTTTCTCTCCAGGCCTCCTCAAGAGAGACAAGTTGGCTTTAAACCCCTAATAAAAAAGGAAGGAAATTTTTCAGACACCAGCGACTTCAGCAAAGCAGGAAAATTCAGTAACAATGTTCGCTTTTCCCAGTCTGGATAATACCACCAATGGGGTTATTCTTCTACGCCGTTTAAAATCATAACAGAATTTATTTGAGGGACTTCCGACGTAGTAATTAACCAAACATCAAACAACCGAAACCATCTAGAACACTCAAGAATAGACCTACAGCCCTCTCTAGACTCGACTCTACCCGAGCAATCTCGTCAGCTGCATATGCTGAGTGTCCCTAGCAAATCTATACCGTAGCAGACGTTAAAATGGTGATCAAGTATTACGTGGGAAAAAAAAAGACCAAAACTCTGCTGTCACCCACACAACTTGAGCCTGCTCCTCTAAGGCCAAAACTCCCCGGACCTCTCCAACCCTACACTACACGCTCTAGTCTGGTTCCCAGGACCCGCTAACTTTAACAGGGCCCAGGGCAGCTTCTCAACGCCAGCCTCCCCTGGAGAGCCTCCCTTTGAGCCTCTTAGCTGCCACAGGCCGTCCGCCCCCAACTCCGGCACTGGCCCCGCCCTCAGCCGCCCGCGCGCACGCGCTCTTTCCGGTCTCCGACAAAATGGAGGCCGGGAAAGGAAGGAAGGAGGGAGCCGCCGCCATCTTAGGGAACCGACGCGTAGCTCCGAGACACTCACCTCCGAGTCAGAAATCTTCTCCTCGCTGCGGCCACCAGGCCCTCCGGGTGGGGGCCCCTGGTGGTGCTGCTGGTGGTAGGGCGGGTGGTGCTGCCGGCCTCCTCGGGGCTCCCCGCCGCCTCGGTGTGGCGGCTTGGGGTGGCCCCCAGGAGTGCTTAGGCCTGGGCCACCGCCGGGCTTCGGCCCGCCTGGCATCTTGCCGCCTTTTGGGCCTCCGGGTCCTGGCCCCTGCTTAGGACCGGGGACCGGGCCACCTGCGGGTGGAGGCGGCGGGCCCCCGGCCTGAGGTGGGGTGGTGGGGACCCCGCTGCTCGGCGGCGCGGGCGGGGGCGCCCCTGGGGGCGCCGAAGTGACAGCAGGCGGCGGGGTCGGGGTGGGGCCCGGCCCCGTGGGAGCCCCAGAGGTCGGGGGAGTGGCGGGCGGTGCCGAGCCGGAGGCCGGCGGAGCGCTGCCCACTCCGGGAGCCGGGCCGGGTCCCTGAGGAACGACGGGCTTAGACGAGTCCTGTGGCGGCGGCGGCGGCTGCTGATGCGGCGGCTGATGCGGCGGTGGCTGAAGAGGAGGCGGCTGCTGTGGTGGCGGCTGCTGCGGTGGTGGCTGCTGCTGTTGCTGGTGCGGAGGCGGTGGTGGGATTGGGGGCTTAGGGCCACCCTGGCCCGGGCCCGGCCCCATGGGTCCGCGGTTCTGATTGAGGCCCATGCCGGGCGGCGGGGAGCGGAAGTCGTGGAGGCCGCCGCGGCCGCCGCCTCCTCCGCGCCGGTGGAAGCCACCACCGCCACCGCCACGGCTCCGGAACCGATCCCGAGACATGTCTGTAATCAAGGGGCGGTCGAGGCAGAAGCGGAGAAGACGCTCAGGGAACGTGGAGGCCACCTTGCTTCGCACAAGATGGCGGATGACACAGGCGGCGCGCCGCCTTTGTCCTCCTCTTATATAGGCCAGCTGGCATGGCCCCGCCTACTTCTCGATCTGTAGCCCCAATAGCCAATTGCAAGTACGGTACTTGATGACACAAAGTTACGGAGCGCTAATCTTTCCGATTGGCTTCCGCATGAGAGGAGGGAGGCATGGAGGGGCTGAAGTTTCCAGCTGGCCAATGAGCGGAAAAGGAGTTGGCTGCAGGCCACTGTGATTTGCTGTGAGAAATTTGAATGGGTTCGCCAGAGTAGTTTTCCCTGATAAACCACGGCCCTATCAGCTCCTGGGGAGAGATGTTAGAGGACCCTTTTCTTTGTTGATTACCCCCAAGAGCTTTCTGCGGGTATCCTTGCCCTGAAAGAACAGATGTTCTCCTCCGTTCTCCGGTTCAAAAGCATAAATTACTTGTGTCTACTATCTGCTCTACCTTGTTCTGGGCCAATTAAATTAAAGAACTAAAATCTTACCGATCTCACACACCCAATCTTACTGATTTCATTTTGGAACCTCCCCGGAGTATAGGTTTATTTTAGCAGTATAAACTTGGGAAGTTAGTGAGTTCTTTGTTCAAAGAGAATAGAATTTTGACTGTGTGTGTGAGCGTGTGTGTAGACTAGTAATTTACAAGCACAAATCATAGGAGGAATATAACATTTTCCTTAACCCCTAGCACTCACACTTTGTGGACAGATTAAGATACTTCAAATTACAGTGTTAAAATCTGTATGAAATCAACCAATCGGCACCACCCTGCTCACTTCTTACAGCATCCTCTAACTATATCCCTTAACACCCCTCCTGGTTACTGTCATCTATGGACCTTTTGATGGATCGATCATTCCTCCCTCAATTAATACTAGGTCATGACTCATTGTCCTCCTCTCCATCCCTATTTCTCCTCATCATTCAACATCGAGGTGGATGACTACCCAATACTCTGTCAATTCTTTACCTCCAACAATTTTCCACCCTATAGTAGCCACCCAACCCCCATCATAGTCGCCCTGTGTTTGTTATTGCCAGTAACTACACCATCTCTAAAATCTCCTTTTCAAAAAACTCAACTGTCTGATCAGTAACTGTAACTGATCAGTAACTTGATTCTTTGACTTCCTCAAAACCTCCAAATCATTAAATGTATTACTTTTTCACTCTCACGTCCTTGTATTCATATAACTTGTGTCACCAGGTTTAAATGTCATGATTGCCTTGTTTTCCTCTTTCTCCATTACACTCATCCCAATCCTATTTGGACCCAACAATTCACCTTCTTTTTTTTTTTTTTTTTAATGTTTTATTTATTTTTGAGAGAGAGAGACAGCGTGAGCAGGGGAGGGGCAGAAAGAGAGGGAGACACAGAATCTGAAACAGGCTCTAGGCTCTGAGCTGTCAGCACAGAGCCCGACGCAGGGCTCAAACCCATGAACATGAGATCGTGACCTGAGCCGAAGTCGGACGCTCAACCGACTGAGCCACCCAGGTGCCGCAACAATTCACCTTCTTTTTTTTTTTTTTTTTATTATTATTATTTTTTTAATTTTTTTTTAATGTTTTATTTATTTCTAGGAGAGAGAGAGAGACAGCGTGAGCAGGGGAGGGTCAGAGAGAGAGGGAGTCACAGACTGAAACAGGCTCCAGGCTCTGAGCTGGCAGTCAGCACAGAGCCCGACGCGGGGCTCGAACCCACGAACCGCGAGATCATGACCTAAGCGAAAGTCGGACGCTTAACCGACTAAGCCACCCAGGCGCCCCAACAATTCACCTTCTTAATGAGAGCTGAGGCTTTCAATTTAAGTTCTTGACCACAAACCTCAAAAGGGCATTAGTATTTTTCTGGCAATCTTACTGAATTTCACCAGTAAATTTACTTTCCCACTTAATTTCTTTCAGAGATAGTGTATTTCATGCTTTCTTCAAACTCCTACACATTCTTCTCTCACTGCACCATAATGAAGTCTCCCATTTCTTTGGGAAAATAAAAATCATGAGAGAACAACATTCTTATCCAGCTGGAAAGCCTCAAACCTACTTGCATTTATTTTTTTTTTAATGTTTGTTTATTTTTGAGGAGGGGAGCAGGCGAGTGTGAGCAGGGGAGGGGCAGAGAGAGTGGGAGACACAGAATCTGAAGCAGGCTTCAGGCTTCCAGCTGACACAAGCAAACCTGTTGCAGAGCTCAACCTCACAACCTTGGGAAAATGGCCTGACCCAAAGTCAGACGCTTAACCGATTGTGCCACCCAAGACCTACTTGCATTTATACCCATCTTTTATGTCTTTCTTCCTGATACCATGAAAGATGTGTCTTTGCCCCTATCAACGGGCAGACTCCTGCCTCTAGTATATGGATCCCAGCCCTTCATGCCTTCTCAAGGATTCTTCCTTGCTGTATCATTATTTCTATTGGAACATTACTATCTTTTTTTTTTTTTTTTTTTTTTTGAGAGAAAGAGAGCGCGAGAGCATGAGTGAGGGAAGGGCAGAGGGAGAGAGAGACAATCTTTAGCAGGCTCCACTCCCAGAGCAGAGCCTGATCCAGGGCTCGATGTCACCACTATGACATCATGACCTGAGCCAAAATCAAGAATCAGGCATTTAACAAATTAAGCCACCCAGGCACCCCTGGAACATCACCCTCTTAAAAATAAACAAAACTTTCCTTTTATCCTATCATCTCATTACTTTATTCTTCTTTACAACAAAACTAAAACAAAACTACACTAGAGGTCTCCATTTCCTCACCTCAGTTTCCTCTTAAATCCACCCCAGTTGGCCCACCCTTCTCTTAAATGATGCCTTGCCAAGAATGCCAGTGATCCACGTGTTGCAAAATCCAATAAGCACTTTCTATACTTGTCTCGGGGCACCTGGATGGCTCAGTTGGTTTGGCATCTGACTCTTGATTTTGGATCAGCTCGTAATCTCGTGGTTCATACATTCAAGTCTTGAGTTGGGGTTCTCTCTCTCCCTCTCTCTCTGCTCTTCCCCTGCTCGCTCGCTCTCGCTCTCTCTCTCTTTCAAAATAAATGAACATTTAACAAAATCTATAGTCGGGTTGCCTGGGTGGCTCAGTTGGTTAAGCGTCCAACTTTGGCTCAGATCATGATCTCACAGTTTTTGAGTCCAAGCCCCACGCTGGGCTCTGTGCTGACAGCTCAGAGCCTGGAGCCTGCTTCATAGATTCTGTGTCTCCCTCCCTCTCTCTCCCCCTCTCCTGCTTGTGCTCTCTCTCTTTCAAAAATAAACATTAAAGAACTTTTTTAATAAAAAAAATAATAAATTAAATCTACTCATCTCTTCTTATCTGTTAGCAACCTTCCACGTAGACAACCCTCTGTCTTTCATGAGACACTTCTCACTGGCCTCTGTAACACCACACTCATGATTTTTCTCCTGCTTCAGTGACCCTTCTCCGTTCCTGACTCCTCACTCCTAGGACTTCTAAATGCTGAGATATTTCAACACTCATTTTTGGGTACTCTTTAACAATTGTTCTCTACTTACGTAGATAATCTTTTCAAGACCAAATACCATCTAAATTTATATATCCATAGTAGGGTAGATCTGAGTTCCCAAGTCAGATATTCAACTTGGAGGTGTCACTGGAATGTCAGATTTAGTATGTCTAAGCTGGAGCTCTTGATTTTATCAACCTAAACTGTTGCTTACCACAAATTTCCCCAGCATAGTAATTAGCATCACCTAGCTGTTATAAAACAAGGACTCATCCTCTTCATAAAACCCCAAAATTGATTCTCCCTACAAAGTATATCTTAAATCCATTTACCTCTCTCCATCTCTACCACTACAACCTAATCTTTTTCACCTCCATCTCTTACCTAAAATTACTGCAACCACTTTTCAACTTCTTGCTTTCTTTCTGGGTGCTCTCTAATCCATTTTCCTTTTTTTTTTATGTTTATTTTCAGAGAGAGAAAGTGGGGGGTGGGCAGAGAGAGAGGAAGAGAGGGAATCCCAAGTAGGCCTCGTGCTGTTAGCACAGAGCCTGACTTGGGGCTCTATCTCACAAATCATGAGATCATGCATGACGTGAGCTGAAATCAAGAGCTGAACGCTTAACTGAGCCACCCAGATGCCTCCTCTACACCACTTTCCATATGGCAGCTAGGGTGATCTTTTAAGAAACATAATTCAGATGTCATTTTCCTCCCTTAAAGTCCCTCCAGTGGTTTCCCATTGCTCTTAGAATAAAATCTAGGGGTACCTGGGTGACTCAGTCGGTTAAGCTTCTGACTTTGGCTCAGGTCACAATCTTGTGGTTCGTTGGTTGGAGCCCCACATCAGGCTCTGTGCTGACAGCTCAGAACCTAGAGCCTGCTTTGGATTCTGTATCTCCCTCTCTCTCTGACCCTCCCTTGCTCACGCTGTCTCTTTCTTTCTCTCTCAGAAATTAAAAAAAAATTTTTTTAAAGAAAAAAAAATAAAATCTAAACACCTTACCAAGATTACAAGGTCTGACTTGGTCTGACCACTGTCTGCTTTCCCAGTCTTTTTTTTAAAATAATTTTTAAATTAAAATCTACACCCAATGTGGGTAGAGATCAAGAACTCACAACTCTGAGATCAAGAGTTGGATGCTCTACTCACTGAGCCAGCCAGGTATCCCAACCCAGTCTTATCTGTCTAGTTCCCTGACTCCTTTCCCTTGTTGGCCTTAGGATTTATCAAGTTACTTTGTCTTTATATTTTTTGCCCCAAGACATTTGGACTTGCTGTTTACTCAGCCTGAAGCACTCTTCCCCCACAACTTTCTGCAGTTATAGCTTTCTTCATTCTTCTATCTCAGCTTAAACAGCACCTCAAAAAGTCTTCACTACCAATCACTACATCTGAAATAAGCCTCTGTTACACCATCCTGTACATGGTGTAATGTATAGAATAGCTCTCTTCACACCTTGTACTTATATGTTTCTTCACTTGCTTACTGTCGTTGTCCTCTGTTAGACTGGGATTCTGAGTTTGAATTC